CTAGTCTTTCATGTGGTATTTATAAAAAAAAAAATCACCTAAAAGATTGTAATCAATTCACAAAAAGTGAAATCTGCATCCCTTTTGCTCAGTAGAAAGATATTTTTGAAGACTATGTGGTGAAACTTCTACTCTATTTCCACTTTGTTGGTGAGGCGATGGTGAGAAATGACTCTAACTAGCGTCTCTTCTGACACGATTTCACTGTTCTGCTCATGGAGCTGGTCAACAGGGAGAGCCTCTCTGTCCTTGGAGCCACAGGTCTTGGGAACACTTCTGCCTTTTCAACTTTCACTTTGAGTTAAGCTGTTCTATTTAGCAAATGTAGATCCCTTTCTGTCTTAGTTCTGGATCAAACCTGAACTAAATCTCCATGCTCAGTGAGTACAATCTTTATCCTCAACTTCTCCACATTTTGAGGTTTTCTTAAAGCCCAGTATGTCCTGTGCCTGCACACAGGAGTCACAGTTCAGGAAAGCTAGCATCCCTTGAGTCTAACTCTGATCCATCCACCCAGCTTTATAGAGCACAGAGTAGAGAGCTGTGATACACATTTGGTTATGAGGAAATCTTCCTTCACTTAACACAGGATAGTCTTCTTTATTTGAGAAGACATACATAATACATAAATATACTACTGTATATTGTGATTCAGTACAGGTGATTTGGGTGTCAGACTTTCTAGGTAATATCCCAATATGAGCTACTTGCTGGAATTATATGTGTATATCTATAGGTATATATATATATATATATATATATATATATGTATATACACATAGGTATAGTTATAGTCAGTTATATAGTTATGTATATACACACATATAGTTATACACACATATATACATAGCCTGGTCACAAAAGTCTATGAAACTCTTATCTCCAAATAAACCTACTAAAACATAACCGAAAATAGAGCTGTTGACTCAAGTGGTAGAGTACCAAACTTGAACCAAAAACAATACCTCAGGAATAGCATCTAGACCCTTAATTCAAGCCCCAGGACCAGCACACACACACACACACACACGCACACACACACACACACACACGCACACACACACACACACACACTTAAATAAATAATAACCATAATACATAGATTATTTCAGAGTTCATATGAGCAATGCTGTAAGAGAATGACTGGGTATTATTAAAAACAATAGAGGAACTTTTGAAGTGACAATAGTCCCATAAAAGAAAAGAATTTAAATTGCTAGAGTATGATTCACATTTGAGTCAATGCAACTATTTAAATGGTAACTACAGTCTAGAAAGTGCTTTATATGACTTCACCCAAAGAAATAGCAACTTTTTGTTCCTAAAATTATTTTTGATTGACAACCAGTGTGGGCACTAATGGAGAACAATATGATTTTCAGATTTATGTATACAATGTAGAAAATTTTGAAATGGGAAGGAGGAAGGAGACAGTGGATAAAATTATCTCCAGTGAATGATATAAAGGATATTATGAGTCGCAATATTTCTTAGAAAACATATACACTCATATTATATACACATGATAGCATTTGAATTCTGAGTTATAGTAGATACATACATCACAGAGGTATCAAAACAGGACAAGGAAGAATGAAGAATCACTTTTCTGTGATTGCAACCTATTCAATAATCTGTTTAAAATGTATCAGACTCACATGCTTTGCTTCCTGAGCACTAAAGAGCACCAAGCATTGATGGCACTGTGCTCATAAAGAGTTTATTGTGAAAATGTGCTTTGGGAACCTCCTGGCAAAAGATAAATGAAAAGGGAGACACAAAACCTACAAAACCTCTAAAAATAAATCTGAATGAATTATGGGGGACTGCGACTCTCTCCAGCTTTATTACATGACTACCTGACACCTTAGTCTCTCTGCTGCCATCTTTCCATCCCTGTCTCAAAGACTCACATGCAGATTATAGAAAATCTAATAAGTGCACATACTTATCAATACATTCGAGGCATCTAATTAACCTTTAATGCTATGTTCAGTGCGGGTAAGTATATGACGTAGATACACTATGGCAAAATTAAATTTGTAATCTATAAAATAACCAACTCATGTGATTGTTCCTAAAACTCAGTAGGACACCATAAAATAGCTTCGTTTAATTTTCTGTAATAGAAAAATGATTTAAAGTATTGTATCTGAACCCATAATGTAGTAATTCTTTATTTCTGTGTTTAGAATCATCATCCCAAATACATCTTTTTCACATGGATAGTTTTGCAAAATGAAAACAAACAAAAAGACTAGTCAAATGCTCTATCATTTCACCCTCAAATATGCCACTCTCATTCTCAAAACTGTTTTCATGGTCTGTGAGTGGTGAGCATGGATGTTTCCTATAGACTTCATATAGATTTCACTTCCCTTCCTGATATTGCTAATGTGGTGCCAGTGACATCGTGAAAGTTAACCAAACACATATTACTACAGCCGGTCTGGGAGGATGGATGGTAGAGTGACAGCAGGTGGTCCTGTTGGTTCCCACGTGGGGACGCAAGGCCCTCAGAATGGAAACACCCACAGGCTGAATAGAACACGAGTTCTGTTTCCTCATCGCTGTGGAGTTACAGCATTCTTGCTTCTGTTTCCAACTGAGAGGCAGCAGGTTGCTCAGGAAAGGAGTTCTACTCTCGGAGGGTCTAGCTGGCAGCTCTAGATGGCTCAGTGGAGGTGCAGGACCTTGAGACACCACGCATGCTGGGAGGAAAGGTCCCTGTGTGCTCTCATCCCCAGCAGGATACACAATTAGGAAGCACAGAGGGCCACAGAGCGCACCTCTGAGACAGCAGCTCTCATGAAGGCGCATCCTTTGAATCTCATGATCCCTAGCATTGCTGCCATCCCCGTTTTCAGATGCTTGGGGTGGACCAGACAGTGAGGCCCTGATGTTCACACCCTGGTGTGATGTGGACCCCTCCAGCTGCAGCAGAAGTTAGAAGACTATATCCTGACGATCTATCTGATTTCAAGCCACACGCCAAGCTGGGAGCTGCTAGAGAGGGCTGAGGTTTCCCTGGGGATGCCAATATAAGTCCCTCTTAGCTCATGATCTTCGAGATCCCAAGCCATGGATGCAGGTACCCCATGGAAATAGTCTCTCACCTTTGTCTTGAAGAGGAGAAAAATCTGAGTTTAGTATATCATGGTAGGGAAGTTAAGAACGCATGCAAGGTCCTACTGGAAGCTTCCTGCATTATCTAGATTGAAAACACTTGAGTTTTACTTCATTACTTTACCAGACACAAACATGCCAGAGTTTTATTTTGAGTATCTCCTATCAATCCATCAATAAGTCATGCAGTTTCTTACACTGTGATCCCTGCCTTGCTAGTGTTATGGCTAGTGTTATGTGTAAAACCTGTCATAGTTGCCAATTTGGGGTGCATTTCAGCCTGTGCTGAGACTCCATGTCTGAAGAAGAAACACTTTGAAGGGTAGCAAATAATGGCTCCTTGTTATTAGAACGTCTTGAGGCATTAGTCAAATTTTTTCCCATTTTATATTCCAGCAATTCCACAGAGAATATGGAAGTCAGGGAACTAACACATAAGAGAAAAAAAACATAGAGGCAAACTCAAAAAACATTTATAAAAAATAAAAGACACCTTCAATTTTTGGCAGATTTCTATATTCAATATCATATGATCATCAGTTATAAGAGTTAAGAGCAATTGAAGATGAAGTAAATATAAATGTTTATGGTACTAAACTTTAACCTTGGAAAATGCATCATTTAAAACTTATGCTTTTACCACATATGAAGCTGACACCATTTTTACCTGTGTAAGTAATAATATCTGTGTTTTTTTCAGGTTTCTTTTTATTTTTAAAGCTCTAACACAGAAGATTTCATATTGGTTTCATGTATATTCAAGAACAGGAAAACATACAGAGAATATTTGTAAATAGTACATAGTAGATTTGTGGTAATACCAGACAATGATATCCTAAATTCCACATTGGTTTTTAATCTAAGGTGCTAAAATTGAATGAGTTTATTTCTTTTCTTTTCTTGGTTTTGTGCTAATCCTGGGACTTAAATTTAGGGACTGGATATTGTTCCTGAGCTTTATTTGCACATTTGAGCCACAGCTCCACTTCTGGCTTTTTTGGGAGGTTTAATTAGAAATAAGAATCTCACAGACCTTCATAAACTTTCCTACCTGAGCTAGCTTTGAACCATGATCTTCAGATTTCGGCCTCCTGAGTTCCTAGTATTACAAGTGTGAGCTACCAGTGCCTAGCTATAAATTTATTTCTTGAGGAACTTATTGAGGCATGCTGATTCATGCTGAAGGAGATGATTGGATTCATTACCTATAATCCATCTGCCACTGAAGAGTGGAGACAGAGACCCTCATGTTCTACAACCAAATAGATTCTCACAGGCACCAAGCTGGGCTAAAGTGCTCAAAGCACCTCCTCTCTAGCAGCTCACCTTTAAAGGAAGAAAAATCACTTGCCCTAGTAACGAATTTCTAAAAGCATTCTCAATGAGTCAATCAAGATCAAGATATCCTTGGTTCAGGAAATAGAAAATACATGTATGAAAAAAATCACATGTTCAAGTAAGTTTGGAAAGCAGAGGCTAAAACCTAGGGTTATTATATATTTTTTAACTAGAGAATTTTTACAGCTCTTGCTCCACTAATAGAAATTGTAAGGAGGGGCATGGGACATGCAATCCTTTACAACATAGTTGAAGATAAGAAGTGTTTATCCCCTTCAGGGATGAACAAAACACTTGGAAGAGATCAGGAGCTGGGCCATTTATTCAGAAGCATCAAATAAAAGTGGCACCACGATTACATGAGTATCGTTGCTGTGAGTAATACTTGGGAACATAGATTTCCAGAGTACAGCTCTCATCGTCCGACTCAGCCCATCAGCAGCTCAGGTCTCGGTAATGAGTACATTCTAGGGGAGTCTTCGTGCTCCCAGTAGTTACAAGTCCGGATCCGTGTTAGTCATGGTGCTGTGCTCCTCTTAGCAATCGGCCTGCATTCGGAGCACTCTCTTCAGGCTGGTTTTCACTTCTGAGTTCCGGAGACTGTAGATGAGCGGGTTGAGCATGGGGTTGAGAAGGCTGTGGAACAGCAGGAGGTATTTCTTCTGCTCCTGAGGTTTGCCGGACCTGGGTCCCACGTACATGATCATGGCCGTGCCATAGAACAGCCCCACCACGCAGAGGTGGGAGGAGCAGGTGGAGAAGGCCTTCCTGCGGCCTTCCCGGGACTGGATCCTCAGGATGGCTGCGAGGATGCAGCTGTAGGAGGCCACGATGGAGGAGAACGGCCCCACCAGCACGAACGCCGCCCCGGCCAGGACCAGGGTCTCATTGGTGCGGGTGTCGGCACAGGCGAGTTTGAGGACAGCCATGATTTCACAGAAAAAGTGGTTGATTTTCTGGAACCTGCAGAAGGGTAGTGGTAGAAGGAACCCTAAATGAACCAAGGAGAGAAGGACGCCGACGGTCCAGGAAGCCGCGGCCAGGCCGGTGCACACTCTCCAGCTCATGAGCGCGCAGTAGCGCAGCGGGCAGCAGATGGCCACGTAGCGGTCGTAGGACATGGCCACCAGCAGGAGACACTCTATGATAGCGAAGGTCAGGAAGAGAAAGGTCTGGATCATGCATCCAGCAAACGAGATGGGCTTGGCGGGATGCAGGAGGTTCACCAGCATCTGGGGCACCGTGTTGCAGGCGTAGGCCATGTCCACGATGGCCAGGTGGGAGAGGAAGAAGTACATGGGGGTGTGCAGTCTGGGGTCCAGACAGATGAGCCTCAGGATGACGCCATTGCCCAGCAGGGTGAAAACGTAGAACAGGGAGAAGAGGCCAAGGAGGACCAAGTGCATCCTTGGGCCGCCTGGAAATCCCAGCAGGATGAACTCTGTAATCTCTGTCATGTTGCTTTCCATATCCCTGTGACCGAGGAAATTGAATTAATTCATTAGTGTGGTCTAGGCGAAGTGTTTAAGCACACCTTTTTGATCCTCCCCCCTTTTTTTAGGATAGTAAAGTGATAAGAGAGAGTTGTGGTGAATTCTTGTGTCGCTTAATGAGTATTTAAATGTTATTTGAAAACCCTAAAGGAAATGATGTGCATATATTTAATATACAATTTGTACAGTGTATATACTTATGTACATATAAGAATGTATATATATTTACATGCACATAAATGCTACATATCTGTGTTTCTTTCATGATGTTTTCAATATTTTAATGGAATCAGTAATCTTAAAATAAATGTATTATCTCATTTAATGTACTACATAATTTTGTTTTAATTCAGTGAACTAAATCAGATTTTTTTCAAATGAATCCTGCTTTTCTTCATGTATATTATTCAGGTAGTTCCCCTTCTTTTCCAGAAACAATGAACTCTAGCAGATACACCAAGGTTTCAAAACTCCATCAACTTTAATTTGAATTGGAAGGTTTCATGAAAGGCAGAGTATGCTTAGGTTAATGGAGCATTGGAGAAATGTATTTTGGGTCCTCTCCCCGTTCCCCTGTGTGTCTGCCCACACTTCCCACCTCTCCATAAACAACCAGTGCCTCACAAAACCTCTTCTTAAGCCTGAAGACTCAATTTTATCTTGGAGTCTTCTTATTTACTCTTTAAGTGTCACAATGAATATTTAGAAGAGAATGTATCTGAATGACTGAACAGATGTGTAACAGATGTGTTTTCATGTGCTACGTACACACAAAAACAGAGTGAATATCATTGACATACTGTACAGAATACAGGCATTGTCTCTTGCAGGTGACTGACAATAGCTTGTCTTCTCTAAAGACATTGAACTAAATCATTCTCCTAACTCTATACTGTTGGTACAAAAATAATGTATCCTTCTTGCTTTGTATTTATTCCTGCCTTTTACATAAATTCAAGTTGTCTGGGAGATAGTAGGCATGAACAATAGTCCTCAGTTTAAGTGGTCATAAAATTAAAAGTTCAAGGCTGCTAAAAAATATCAAAATTCTTCTTCCACCATTTCAATGATAAGTGGCATTACTCAAATTGATGAAATATAAAATAACATGCAAATATTATTGATTTTCTAAATTTATAATACCAGTATTTTTAGGGTATAGATGTCAGTGATTATACTCTGAGCTTTTACTCATTGTTCAGACTCTTGAGGCATTATGAGATTATGTATAATAAGTAAATGAGTAATAAAAATCATTTCTACACTTATACAACACTTTAAATCTTTTTTTAAAGTAAAATACATGTTCTCCCAGTGCCAGGAAATCATTTACACACACACACACACACACACACACACACACACACACACACACACCCCTTACTCTTCACCTTCAAAATTCCATCAATCAGAAATGACCATTAAAATGCTGATTATAAGAATACAATATTTGACTAATCTTCTATTGATAAACATTCATGTATTTTACTTAGACCATCCTATTATTTCAAATGGCCAGTGGGCAGAACTGGAGTATTAAGAGAGAAGACATGCTCTTTCGCATGATATTAAAGTGTACTAGTAAAGCAAACAAGCAGTGACAATGACACCAAATGATATTTGGCCAGAACTTACAATTAGGAAACCCGGGTATCTAGAGGTGACTGTTGCACATGGATACCGGTGAACCTTCATGCAGAAAAGACAAACATTTCTATCACATGGCTGAATGCACTGATGGTGCTGGAAACCTTACTGCTGGTCTCAGAATGGCCAATGACAAATTCAAGTTGTCTTTTGGAAGGGCAGTCTTTATTAACTTATCCTTCCCCAAATGTCACGAGAGCCTTGTGCTACACATGAGAAAACAACCAGAATGGTTTCTATAGAGACAAGAAGAACTCAATTCCCATTCTTCTTCTACCCCACAGAGAGTTGCATCTGTTTCTGAGGAAGCCATATAGTTAGATGTTCAGATGTTAAGGCAATAAAAGGTAATACCTTTATGACTAAAAGGACATAAATCTAAAAACTCATACTCTAGGATTACCATGCCTTTATAGATACCTCAATATGTAAATTTGTTATACGTTCATAATTAATTTTGTTCGTCCTGGGACTTGAACTCAGGGCCTGAGCACTGTTCCTAAGCTTTGGCACTCAAGGCTAGTGCTCTACCATGCTGAACCACAGAGCCACTTCCAGTTTTCTAGGGGTTGATTGGAGATAAGAGTCTCATGGACTTACCTATCTAGCCTGGCTTCAGACTATGGTCTTCAGATCTCAGCTACCTGAGTAGCTAGAATTACAGACATGAGCCAGTCCTGGGACTTGAACTAAGGGCCTGGGCACTGTCCCTGAGCTTCTTTTCCTCAAAGCTAGCCACAGAGCCATTTCTGGCTTTTTCTGTGTATGTGGTACTGAGGACTCGAACCCAGGGCTTCATGCATGCAGGGCAAGCACTCTACCACTAAGCCACATTCCCAGCCTTAGTAATTTTTTTTGTTTTTTTTTTTTTCCCTTCTCAAACATTTAGGAAACACTTGGGAGGTAGGAAGAATTATATTTGGTTATTGTTTGACAGTGAAATAAAATCTAGACACAACTGCCTTCAGCCATAGTTCTTTCAGTATAGTCTATTTTCCTAAGTACTCCAAAGTCAGTAATGGAACAAACTTGAATATTAAGGCCTAAGCCATTAGATCACTTTAAATGGACCTTCCTTCCATCTTGAGCACAGATCTGCAGATGTTTGGGCCCTCTTGTTTGGGAGGTGGAAGCTTTGGGGGCATCTATCTGAGTAGGAAAAGAATGGATGAAGGCCAAGGACTGTGTGAGCCTTACTGTTAAGTACTTGCCTTCTTTGATCATGTATTACTTGGCTCTCAGGGGAAAGACAGAACCCTGGAGATGCAAAGGGCCTGCACCTGTTCTCTCAACTCTCAGGAATGGTAATGAATCTATGTGTTCTTTCAGAGAAGGCTTACACTGTTATTATACGGTGTACGTAAAGAACAGCACTCTCCTTTTGCAAGGTGTGGTCAACAAACAGCTCCTTAAGCCCTCAAGTCATAGGTAAATGATTTTTGAGAAGTACATTTTGGGAACAATGAATCTCTTGGCAATGTTCTGTCATTTCTGTTGAAGCTGGTGTGATGTGAAGCCAGAAACCAACCATAAACAAGATGTCTTGATAGCCTCTGTATAGGGCCATTAAAATGGCCAATGTCATGCAGCTAGAAAATGCAAATCCATACATTGAATCTATACATCTATACATATATATATATGTAATCATAATAAATCATCGCTTTACTCAGAGCGAGTGAAATGGATTGGTGACCATCATCATGCCACCAGTGGAATTATTGCTTTCCTTGGAGAAAGATATTAACGACGCAGCTTGGTCTCTGCTAATGAGCGGACAGACACTCTGCAGCGCAGAGCAGCAGAGCCAAGCAGCCTTATGGACAAGCAGCCAATGTCACTGGGCTCTTGAAAATCTTTCATTTCTGTTGCCATGGATACTGTATTGGTTGCCCACTATGCAGTGACTGGATTGGCTTAGCAGCGAGACTGGCTTAACATCCTGTATTGTGTTGTATAGAATCTCTTCTGCAGTAATATCTGGTTGGCAATAATATGGGCTACACAGATCCTTCTTTCGTTGTATTCCTGCCATGTATCTGGTTCATGCTTCCTTCCACTAACCCAGAACAGGGTCTAGGCCCAGAATCCATTTGACAATTTCCAGGAGTCCATGCTCACGCTCACCTCAGGCTACCTTCTCTTTACAAATAGTGAGTAAGTTAAAAACCAGCTGTGATCACCTTCAAGTTCCAAATAATTGATCAAAATATGTACCAATATATCCAGCTCAATCTTCCTTGCACCAAAGATCTTAACGTGAGACCTGAAACTTTGAAACTAGTACAGAAATATAGGAAAAACTATGGAAGATGTACGCCTAGTAATTATTTTCTGGATAGAATTCCAATTGCCCAAGAAATAAAAATGGAAAACTAAAAACGGAACTACCCATGACCCTGACATACCATCCTGGGCTATATGAAGACAATATCAGTATCTAAAGTAAACACCTACAGATCTGTGACTGTTGGAGCTCTCTTCACAGTAGGCAAACTATCGAATCAACTAATGTGTTCAACAATCAATGACTGGACACACATTTATGCACAATATTAGTCAGCATTAAAGAAAAATGTATCTATGTCATCTTCTGGGAAATGAATGGAACTGGAGATCATCATGTTGAGTGAGATAAACCAAATTCAAAAGTGCTTGCTCATTTTGAAAGTCTAAACCTAAAATGATGATGGTGATGGTAATGGGGAAGAAGTGGAAAAGGCTGCTTCTATCTAGGAAGGGCTCAACCAGTAGAAAGTGAGAGAGAGACATAGGAGGGATACTGATGAGTACAGAGTATAAAAAATCCTCCATACAGATCAATATACATATACGTTCATCATACCAAAAGCTATTTGGGGAGAAGGAAGAAGAGGAACAGAATATGGTAGAGGGAGTGGATTTGTTTACAATGCACTATGTGGATGGATGGAAAGACCACAGCAAAACCTCTTCATGTTACAAATGAGAGCACATGCAAAATTAAAATAATAGAGATTAATTTGCTATGTTGTGTCTACTTTGTGCAAATGTAGTGCCTTCTGAGATCCTTCCATCCACCCGTTTCTAAATACTTGATAAGCAATTACACCTGAGCCATATTCCAGACCAAGATTCACCTGTTTGTAGCAGTAGTTTCTATTTTTAAATGCTAGTTAATAGTCAATAAAAATATCGCACCATTTATTTATTCTATTGTCCATGGGCATTTGTGTCATTTCCAAGTTTGTCTGCTGTGAATGGGGCTTAGTGTACATGCAAGGCAAGCGCTCTACCACTGAGCCACTTTCCCAGCCCCAGTGTACATTCTTTTTACACACATTTACCATGATATACATCAAGTATGGCATGACGAAATCATAGAATAAGTACATATGTGATTTTTAGCTAATATTGACAAGTGGCTTCCAACGAAATGGTACAAATTTAAACTTCTACCAACATTAATAGTATTACATTTTATGATTTTCAGTCCAAGTCTCTATCTCCTCCCCACCCCCCACACTTACTGAATTGTCTGAGTCTTTTTGTTATAATTTAGTCCTTTTACATAGTTGGGCAAAGTGGTTACATGGTTACAGTTTAACGTGTTAGTTTATGAATACAGTACATCTGGATTGGTGTCATCCTTTTCATCATTCTCTCTCATCTCTCCCAACCTTACCCTTCCATTCTTCTAGTTCCATTTTCACATATATATACTGAATATTTTCACTTTATTCCCCCTCCTTCCACTCTGGTCATTTGCCCTCCTCCCCTTGACCTCTTCACACACCCCTCAAGTATCAGCTTCTGGTATTCATTTTGTTAGATTATAAATTAGTGTTCAAAGGAGTTATACCATGGGAATACTCTACTGCACATGTCATAGCCAAAATATGGCAACAGCTGGTTGCCCTTCAATGGATAAATGGATCCAGAAAATATATACACAATGGGATTTAACTTATCCAATTGGGAGAATGATGTTGCATCATTTGCAAAGAAATGGATGGACCTGGAAAAATTATGTTAAGTAACTTGGACCAAAAGAGGCGAAGGGCACATGTTCTCTCTTATGTGTGGAAGTTGGATATAATTTATAAATCTATATGTAAGCATGTACAGGGTCACATTCATGTGTACACAGGCACATTAACTGAAGCATGCGGTGTGGTACTTGGGAAGTCCACCTAGCAGGCTAGGTTCATCAGCAGCCTATAAGTGTTCCTCATAAAGACAGTACGCTGAGCTGTGCTGAAATACATTCTGAATAGACGCATCATCTCTCAGATGGTAGCATGCATAGACATTCTTAAGTTAAATAAATAAAGTCCAACTTTGACTTCCTGCTAAAGGAAACTTAACCTAACAAAAGGGCATGAAAGTAACTCTCTTCACTGAGCTTCCTGGGTTTGGGATGGATGAGGTACACCATTACCCATCTCTCCCTCCTGGTCTCTTCTAGGCATCTTTTCTTTCCTCTGTGCTTTGCCAAGCTCCTGTTATTTCCTGTCTGATCTGCCAAGCATGCTAGTTTTGTCCACTCATAAACAAGAAAACAACTATTTTCAGCTTAGCTTAGTACTTGGCAGAACTGCTTTTTTGTGTGTGTATTGACCTTTAGTCTGCAAAGTTGCTGAATTAATTCATTCTGATTTTTGCAGATTTTACTAAAAAACACAATATTAAATATAATTAATATGATATAATAATATAATTAATATGATATAACAAATATAATATTATAATAATGACAATAATACTATGATATGTAATTGGCTAATATAACAATATAATGATAATATAATAATATAAAATCTCTATATAGGAGCATGATGGGTTTTTTTGTTTTTTTTTTAATTTAATTTAATTTTATTTGTGAACATACTGTACAGAGGGGTTACAATTACATGGGCAGGATAATGCGTACATTTCTTACCAAGCATTGCAGCCTCCTCCTTTGTTTACCCTTCACCTCCCTTAGGAACATGATGTTTTATAGCACAATTTTATTGACTATTTTCTGAACTGGACTATTTTTCTTCTTCTTTATTGCTCCTGAAATTCCACTACAATGTGACATAGAAAAGGCAAGAGAGGATTTGATTTAAACATATTTGCTTTGTTGTTGTTTTTTGTTTTGTTGTTCATTTAGTATTGTTAGTATTGTTATTTAGTATTGTTAGTATTGTTATTTTTTGTTTTCTTGTTATTTAGTATTGCGGTTGTTTTGTTGTTTATTTAGTATTGTTTTAGTATTGTTGTTTTGTTTGTTTTGTTGTTTATTTAGTAATGTTATTTAGTATTGCTGTTGTTTGCAATTGTTGTTGTTATTTAGTATTGTTGTTATTGTTTAGTATTGGTTTTGGCGGTATTAGGGCTTGAATGCAAAGTTTCCTGCTCCCTCAGCTTGCTTGCTTGTTTGGTGCTCTGCCACTGGAGCCATGCCTCAAGCTCTGCTTTTTGCTGGTTGAAGACAGAGACTGGCAAATGATTCTGTCCAGGCAGGCTTCAATCTGAGATCCTCTGGATCTCAGCTTCCTGAGCAGTAAGCTACCAGAGGCTGGTCTGTTCCTTTATCATGTGGGAAAAAGCATCCAGTCTTTAATAACCAAGTATAGTTTTACCTGAGATTTTCTTAACAGTGCTTTCCATTGAAACATTTAACTGTTTCCAATTCGTTGAATGTGTGTGTGGATGGAGGTGAGTAGTTATCATGAAAAGGTATTGGAAATGTCAAAATCTTTCATTATCTGGGATGAAAAGTTATGGTCCTTCTTTTTTTTTTTTCTTTTTGTCATTCCTGGAGACTGAACTGAGGGCCTGGACACTGTCCCTGAGTTGTTTTTTCTTTTTTTTTTTTTTTTGTCAGTCATAGGGCTTGAACTCCGGGCCTGGGTGTTGTCCCTGAGCTCTTTAACTCAAAGCTAGCGCTCTACTACTTGAGCCACAGCACCACTTCTGGTTTTTCTACTTAAGTGGTACTGAGAAATCAAACCCAGGGCTTCATGAATGCAAGGCAAGCACTCTACTATTAAGACACATTCCCAGTCCAAATTATGCTCTTTTATTCTCCTTCAATAGTCTGACTTGCATTCTAAGTGTCAAAACTATCCTTTACTTTTAGGATAAATCTGGTTTGGTCGTGGTGGTTGATTCTTCCTTTGCTGGTTGGATTTCGATTCTGATATTTGTAAAGGATTGTTGGATTTACATGTGTAAGGATGTTGGTCTATGGTGTTTATTTCCAATGGTGTATTTGATATCAGTGATACCTTCTAGAATGAGCCGAGAGGTATTCTGTTCTAATTGTTTTTTTAAAGAAATTGTTGCAAAGTAATAGTGCTACTTTTTCTTTAAAAAATTTACTTTTAATAATCTAAAATTTTTACCACTATAAAACTGTGGTTCATAGTGTATTTTATAAGTTGTAAATTTATTGACTATTATAAATCTGTTGCGATTGTTTACTTATGAGAGATTTGGTAGATTGTGTCTTTCTAGCAATTTGTTCTTTGTCTAAGTTTCTCATTGTTAACACACAATTAGAATTCTCAGCATTCCCTTCCAATTCTTTTCTTATACATCAGATGGATGAGTATGAATGTTCCTTTACAACTCTTAGTATCTTCAGAACTTGGACTTTTTCAGCTGTTCATTTAGCTAAAAATTTTCAATTTTGATGATCCTTCCTAAGGAAAAAAAACTTGGCTTTGTTGATTTTATTGTGCTGTTATTTCCACATTTATTTGTAGCCATATGAATTTATATATTCCATATATTCTATTTGCTTTGGCCTTAGCAAGCTTTTCTTTAAATGGCTTTTAAAGGCTTAATTAGTTTTCCTTTAACTTGAAACAAAAATGCTAAGAAATAGGTGCAAACAAGCAGGTGAAGCTAATTCCACCCTCTCCCACTCTCTGAATAGGAGTGACTCTCATTACTGGAATTTAATCTGGAACCTGGGTTCAGTGGAGAGAGTCGACAGAAGCTAGTGAAAATTAAAATGTATATTCCTCCTCTATTTTCCGAGCTAGGATTTGAGCAATTACTATTCTTATACCAAGCTTCTAATGGAGGAACATTCCCAGGCTTTTGCTTCAGCAAGCCATGTCTGAAGAGAACAGTCCTGTTTGTTCCTCTGTTCTTCTACCTGCTGCCTATTTGGGCTTCTTCTGCAAGGCTCTGTGAAAGGCTTCCTTCACCTGGGCATTCCTCAGGCTGTAGATGAGGGGGTTGAGCATTGGATTAAATAGACTGTGAAACAGTGACAGCATTTTCTCCTGCTCCTCTCGTTGGCTCGACTCTGGGACCATATAAACCAGCATGGCTATCCCAAAGAAAAGCCCAACCACACACAGGTGGGAGGAACAGGTGGAGAAGGCCTTCATACGGCCTTGCTTCGACTGCATCTTTAAAATGGCCCAGAGGATGTGTGTGTAGGACACAAGCATTAAACAAAGGGGACCGACTAAAACAAAAACAGAGGCAGCTAAGAGGACCACTTGGTTGACCTGGGTGTCAGCACAGGCCAGTTTGAGGACTGCCAAGATTTCACAGAAGAGGTGATTCACGTTGTGGGGCCCACAGAAAGGTAGCCTCAGGAGAAGAAATGAATGTGCCACCGAGAGGATAAACCCACATGCCCAGGAAGCGACAGCCAGCCCGGTGCACAGCCTCCAGCTCATGATAACAGTGTAATGGAGGGGATGGCAAATGGCCACAAACCTGTCATAGGACATGGCTGCCAAAATCAGGCACTCCGTAGCAGCAAAAGCCAAATACAAGAATGACTGCACTGCGCACGGAATGAAAGAGATGGTTCTTCTGTGGTTGATAAGGTTTCCCAGCATCTTGGGGACATTATTGGAAGCATAGGACACGTCGAGGACGGCCAGGTGGGAGAGGAAGAAGTACATGGGGGTGTGCAGTCTGGGGTCCAGACAGATGAGCCCCAGGATGACGCCATTTGCCAGAAGGCTGAAGATATACAACAAGGAGAAGATCCAGAAGAGGAGCACCTCCATCCCTGCACTGAGCTGCAGTCCCACCAGGATGAACTCTGTGACCCGTGAGTGGTTGCCTCCCATCCCTCAGTGGCCGTCTGTCAATGAAGGAGGCATGACAGAATCATCCGAGCTAGAGGACCAAAGAAACTGGATTTATTCTTCTCAAAGTACGCTCAGAGAAAGGCGATTTGCTTGTTCTTTCAGACAGCTTCCCAGTTCTATCAATCCCTTTTCAACACTTTATCTTGAAATACATCTAGATATATAGAAAACCGTCAACAACAATGGGGAAAAAATAAACATCTACCTATATTCAGGTAAGTTTAGATTTCTTTTTTGTTCATCTTATACTTTCTCCTTACTGTACATACTTAATTTTTGAACCATTGGAAATTACAGGGTAGCTATGTACCCCCATTTACCTATACATTTTTAATTTTTCACCAATTAAAAAATATTCACTTACCTATTCGTACTAGGTCAGTATGCTTAATGTTTACATATTTCTTTTTTTTTTTTTTGGTCCGGTCGTGGGGCCTGAACTCTGGGCCTGGGCGCTGTCCCTCAGCTCTTCAGCTCAAGGCTAGCGCTCTACCACTTGAGCCACAGCAACACTTCTGGCTTTTTTCTTTTTGCTTATGTGGTGCTGAGGAATCGAACCCAGGGCCTCTGGCTTGCAAGGCAAGCACTCTACCACTGAGCCACCTTCCCAGCCCATGTTTACATATTTCTAATGTCCAATTTTCCCATCTCCACCCCAAAAGGATCTGATCCAATCTGTCACATATCATTTGTACTTAGTCTCTTGCATCTGGAAAAGTTTGCTCCACCTTATTTGAGCCTTTTCACACCTTGACATTTTTGGGGGGAGGGTCAGTCATAGAGCTTGAACTCTGGGCCTGGGCTCAAGCAAGCCTGTATTGACTTGGAAAATATATGTATCTTTCAAAAATTCTGGAGTTATATCACAGTGTGTGTATCCTCTGGCCTCATGCCTGGGCCTGTCAGAGGTTTGTAGTAGAGTCGCAGATCTCTTCAATGGACAGGTTTTCTTGCCTGTGTACAAGCAGTTCCTATAAAGAGAAAGGTTGCATTTTACTTGAGGCTCTCTAGCCTCCATTGGATAGACTATTGGATAGGCAGAGTCTTCTCTAGTAAATCAGAGGGACTCATAAAAGTAGCGTCTTTGGGTACCTGTTACATGCACATGCTTGGTCAATATAACCCTGAAAAGAAGTTTTATATCCTCATGGAGATACAGGGAATCCTCAGGATAAGATCAAAGATGAGGCGGCATTGATGCTAGATGTCAGTTAGTTAGTAGAGATGGCATTTATTTATAGGCAGGGGCTGCCTCTCATCAGATAACAAATACTATCATACCTTATACTTCTTTATGTCTCATAAAAAGTAGTCTAGTTTTTAGATAAAACAGACACCCCAAATCTATTCATTAATAGATTATCGGTGGTGACCGATAATTTTTTCAGTTGAAGATTAGTGGTGCATATATAATATATTCCTAACAACTGATCAATACATTCTTTCTACTTTTAAAAAGTCTCCTATTAAAAACAATGTTTTCAATGAATTACTTTAAATAGACATAACAACATGGATTTTATTATATCAGTAATTAAATAGCCACATTTAAATGTATTGTTACCTATAGTGAATCAAATGATGACTTTACAATCGGAATCTCCTCATCTATGAATGTTGCCTTACTTAGATAAAGAGTCTTTTCAGATGCAATTATCTTGAGATAATCTTCAGTGTCACGAATGGGCCTAAATTCCAATGCAAAGTGTCCTCTTGACATGAAGACAGAAGGAAGAACTGAGCTACAGAAGGTACACAGAGCCTGAGGAGCCATCATGGAAATCAGAATGTGAAGATCACCAGAAGACAGAGGAGAGAGACATGTTCCAAGAGACCTGAAGCATGAACTCCTCACTCCAGACTTCTAGAGGACTCCACAGCTGTCAAGAAATGTACTTCTATTGTTTTAAGCTAAAACATTTCTGAAAGTTTTTCCACAGGAGCTATAGAAAACTTAAACGGTATCTCCTACCTGCTTTGAACCGATGCTTTGGATCTCTAAGTATGAAGATACCAGGTGTGTAATGAAGACACAAGACTTACAACATTTTACACTCACAGGACTCTAAATCCATGGAGAGGGGTAAGTTATGAGAGAGTGTTTCTTTGAGAATACTGTTTCCTCAGAGCAGAGATGAAATCACAGACTACTTTTGCTAAATGTACTGCATTTGGGAAGTTTTCTAGATAAGTGAACATAAATTATTTTTGCTACAGTTACAGAGCATTTTCACAGTGTACCAAGGGCAAAATTATAACATCAGTATTATACATTTTAGTTAGACATTATTGGACAAAGTAAGTAATATTAACTTTTAATATCACTTAATATTAAATTAAATGAGTTACATTTAATTTCTGAGTAAAATGCATGATATTATTATTATTGAAGGCAAATCAGTTTATCACTACCCAGTAGGAATATTTATTTCTTAACTTTTTACTTTGTTTTTGTGTCTGGATTAATAAACACTGTTATCTTCCTCATCATTTCCATTTTGTCATTAAAACTAGACAACATTAAAATGAAAATAGATTAAAATCCCTGAGCAACTATCACATTTGAATAGAGAAAAAAATCACAAGAATGTTTAAAACTTTGCATTGCCAATAGGATAAAAACATAGCAGCATATTTCCATAACCAATCTGAGCAATTTTTCACCCAGACAGTACTACAACTCAAAATATTTCTCCAGCTTTGGGCTTGATTCCTTTTTCCTACTCTGTAGCAGATCTGGCTGCTAATTCATTCTCTCCTGACTTTGTGACTGGAAAAAATATATTAAAAAGGGTGAGACATTGGGATAGTTCCAAAAACAGAAATAATTACATGACCATCTTACCTTTTATACTGATTCAGCAAGGTAAAGATCTATTGTGAATGGTATTAGGATTTTCCTTGTGATAAAGGTTTTCTGGGCCATCAATGCCTTTAATTAGCCTAGGTAATATGAAAAATTTTTTCATTAGCTTGGTATTTTCAGAGCCTTATTCAAAGACAATGCCTAGATGTGCTTCTAATTCTCAAATCTCTTCTCATTGAGATAATTAGCTAGTTCTTCTTTTCAATTTGTTAACCACATTTCTTATTATCATCAACATGTTTAACTGGGGCTTTCATATAGCCATAAAACATACCTTGATCAGGTTCACCCCTTCCCTCATTCTCCCTAAACTCTCCTTTGTCCTTCCCAAACCAATTTCAGCAAACTTCATTGGTGCATTTTCAGAAATGTACATAGACCCTGGATCATATTCAGCCTTGTTCATATATTCAGTTTGCCTTCTCCTCCACACGAGTTCCAGGACCCTGCCCAGGACTGTTGTACATTTAATTTTCATGGCATTTCAATTGTTCGAAGCAGGTTTCCATATGTATCCATAATATTTTAATCAGATTATCCCTTTTGCTTAGCTTACTCTCCCTTTCCCCTCTCCTACAATCCTCTCTCATACAGCGACTTTTCATAGGTTTCATTTCACTATCTTCATTCACAGATGCCGGTATTTGGGTATTCTTCCCCCTCTAACTCCTCCCACCCAATCCCCTCATGTCATTTCTGACCACAACCACTAGGTGGAGAAGAGTAATGCTGAGGAGTCCTGGGGCTCTCCGCCCATCCAAGCTTAAGTTCCCTGATATGACCTAGTGTAGTGACTGCTTCCTAACTACCCAAGAAGTACACTCAGAGTCAGGAGGGGAAAACACATAGAAATGTCAGTTTTTGAGTTTGAATGCCATACTATCCTTGCAGAAAACGACTTTCCAGCTCCAATGTGTCTGTGCAACAAAATAAGATATAAGCATGAGATTGGGTTTTTTCCCCAAAGAAAATAATTTAACTTAGAAAGAAAAATGTAAATGAGGTGAGAAATGTACCTCCAAAATAAATACAGAACTCTCACGTGCCCTGGATGAAATCCGTGAAATGGGAGGACTCACTGGAATTGATGAAACGTCTTCAAAGAACCCCAGAAACCTAGCTTTTATTTTACCATCAGAGAGAGAAAAAAATATTTATTGCAGAGTTTCTACTGAGAGTTCAATTTCCCAGGAGTATTGTAAGATATCACAGCTATTTATCTTCTCCCTGAGGGTACAAGGATGTTCTGAATCCCCCCCCCCCCTGGAGAAGAGCAACAATTACCCTTTGGGGAAAAATATGGGGTAATGTCAGGCCATTGTTGACATCAGATTACTTCTGCACAAACTTCCAGGTATCCCTGGGGTAATAAACTGAAACAGATCACAAAGCACAGTAGCAGTACTCTGAAGGTTCCTATGGTTCTGGGACTTCATGCCACTCTGCCGTCTCCTGCGAGGTAGCTGTGTGAGAGGCTGTGGCTCTGAGATGGCTCAGGGGTCTGGCCACCCAGTACCGACATAGGTCTCCCATGCCAGGTGTGTCGACTGGCACTGGGACATGAAATGAGCAAGGAGAGGCAATAGCAGCCATCAGAATCATCCCTGCTTATAGAAAACGAGCCAGGTGCTTTGTTTACACTATATTATTTGAATCTACGCATTATTTCCATCTTTCAGACATGAAGGCTGAAGTTTAAACACACCGTGAACAACTTATTAAATGTGATCTAAGGAACCTATGAGAATTGCTGAGCATCTTTCAAAGGGTCTGTCGGAGCTAATGCTGCTTCAAAATAATTTTTAGACACTTTTGCCATTTTTAACTCTTATTCTCCTATGATCATTCATGGAAATTTCCCAGAGGCTAAACAATACACAATATTGTAACACATGTGAGCAAAGGCAAATAATAAGCAATGTACCTTTCTACAATTGACTCAAACTCTTAATAAAAGGTAAAAATGCAAAACATTTACTTATTATACTAGCTCTCATAAAATACCACTCCGTTTCATAAGGCATATTATTTATACTAACCTATAAAAAAGGCTTCCTAAATACTAGTCTTTCAATAATGAACTGAAAGCAAATCTTTAACACATTCTCAGGGC